AAATATTAATGAGAATAAGTAAAAACGTAAAGGGAAAAAATTGTGAACCATTGTCTGAAAAAGAATAGTTTTTAGCTTTTTCGACCTCGTCTCAGTATTTCGCGATTTTCTCCGCGAAGAAAAGGATTTTTGAAGTTCGGAACGTGTTATTCGGAATCAGCGTCCAAAGACAAACCAGAATATGTATTAAAATCGAAAAAATAAAATTCACTTGAATTTTGATCTGTCTGAACCTTACTCTGAACCGTTGTCAGATTGTAGAGGACATTTTGAAGTTTTCTGGGCTTGCAGGTATTGTCACTCTGAGAAATGAAACTTTTCAATTTTTTCGAGGTTTTCTGCTTGATTTTTTGAAATTTCATTGAAATTTCAAACTTCAGTATGAAGAGCTAATTCTTGCGTAGTTCGATACACGACATCGAATTATATATCCAGTAGTATATTATTACGTATTGCGTGTAATACTATTTCCAGTGTAACGGAAAAATTTTGAGAAAAGTTGAGATTTAAGGGGGGCGGCCCCCATTTAGATTTTCGTCTGACGCTCCAAGTTTGTACAGGATACTTCGAAGTATATGTCCTGAAGTTTTGAAAATAATTAACAACTTAAAAAATTGTTGTTAAGTTTTTGAACAAGGGACCATTATTAAAAAATTCCTGTCCATTCTCCATTCATCATAAGAACTTGGTTCTTACCCAGACCGATAGAGAAATGTGTGAAGAGTATTTACTACGAGAAAATATGTAAAAAGTTTTGTTCTTTCCTTCGTGTTATTGACTAATTAGTACTAATTAACGTTAATTTGGCCTACTCTACTAGCTTAAAGTCCCATTTATAAAATAGCGACTCAACGAAAAATTTAAGCAATACCTCATCTAATAGAGAATTTCGCGAGCTACAAGATGGACTACCTTAATAACTTTAGAATACATTTTTGGCCGCTAGGTAAGCCCGCTAAGTCGAAAATTTAATATTTTTTTAAGTAATTAATTTTTTTCTCAGCCAAATAATGCCAGTAAGGTGAAAATATTTCAGAACATATACTTCGACGTATCCTCTACAAACTGGGAAGGCTTGAAGAAAAATTAAAACTTTGAAAATATCGCTGGTTTTTGGCTCAGCGAAGATTTTTCCACCTCACCTTACGGCTATTTTCGCTAGAAGCAAGCATTTTGAAGCAAAACTCTGGGTTCAGAATCGAATTCCGGAGTTCCTAACGAGACATTTTTTTGAAATGTCTTGTTTTGGTTTTTAAATTGGAAAATACGAAATTTTAAAATTTTAAAAACCGTAAAATTCATTTTAAAAACCAAAAAAGAAAATTTTTAGAAAAATCTCTCGTTAGGCACTCCGGAATTCGATCCTGAACAACTTTTGTATCCAAAGTTTTGTTTCAAAATGCTTCTTCGAGCGAAACTAGCCATAAGGCCTTTTCCGAAATACTTTTAGCTCTAAAATTTCCTCGGGAAGGTGAACGTTAAATTTCTGCGTCAAACGTCATTCGGGAACGATGAAAAGTTTTTTTCCTTATACAAGTTAATGTTCTCTATCGAACTACGCTAGAATCAACTCTTCATATCAAAAACTGAATTTTTCATTGAAATTTTAAAAATAGGGCAGAAAACCCGAAAAAAACTTCAAAATTTTTTTAATCAAAAACTACATATCCGGGAACCGAAAGCTTTATTCAGACATATACTCCGATGTGTCCTCTACAACCTGGTGAAAGAAAACGTGGGGAGACCCTCCTCCTTAAGCTTTTTAAGACATGTTTCGTGAGCGTATCAAGCATCTTGTCAAAAAGCAGTCACGAGCAAAAAATTAACCTATGGTTTTTATTTTATATTCGGATTCTACAATCAAATCTGGGATTACAAAAAAAAATTTTCCTCTTCTGACTTATTTTGACGGAGTTATAGAATTTACGAAATGAGGCCTATCGGGAAAGTTCGAAAAAGTACTATCCTCAGTATTTTTTCTATAACTCTGTTAATTTTTGTTCGAGCAATATTTCATTTGAAAGCCCATCAAAAACTGAACAAAATGACATATTTTTCGATTTTTTAGCGTTGAAACGGAATAGTTTGGAGAACTGGCTGTTAACGGCCTGTTTACGTTTTAAAGAATCTAATATGTGTGTGTTTTTCGTTTTTCCTCCATCATATTTTACACTATGTAGATGCACTGGAATAAACTGTATAGTACGTAAGCTTGCAAGCTTGAATAGCGCTTTGACAATGTTAGTTTTCGATCTGACATGGCAATACAGTTACAGTGACAGACTGGCAAACACAAGTTCTGATGTTCGAATTTCGATATTTTCAAGTAAGCAAAAAAATTATAGTGCCGTTAGATAATGTGTATAGTCTAGTATCTAGATTCGGTCGATTAGTAAGAAAGGGTAGATTCGACAGATAAGTCAATGTGACGAAGTCGGAGGAAAATTTTTTAGAAGTTAATATAACCCCTAAAAACAAGCCCGTTAACGTTCTCAAAACGACAAAAAACGGCCAGTAAACAGTCAATAAACGGCCAGTCAATGGTAAGAAAACGTTTAGAAAACGATCCGTAAACGGTGAAAAAACGATCTTTTTAAGACCCTAAAACGTTACGAGTGTTAGGTACTGAAAACGGCCCGTTTAGGAACTAAAAGCGGAAAAAAATAAGGAGTATTGTACGTCCTGTTAGACGCATTGGTCCTATTTAGTAACTTGAAAAACGACAATCAGAGAGCCCATAAGCCACCGGCATGAGTTTAACACTCATAACCTATGTGGAATGATAGTATAATTACTTTGGTGGTAATAATTGCAAGCAACTTCTCAATATGTTCCTGAAGTCATGAAAGAAAGTTTAGAGCTCAATTTGTAGAGAATTGCACGCTCTACAAAACGCATTAACTTACATTTTGCGAGAAATCTACTGGACGAAGAAAAATAAAGTTTATTGCAAAAATTTTGTTTTTAAAATTACTAATCTTTAAATAGTAGGCTTCTGAAAAATCCAGTTTCCGTTTAAAAAAATTTAAAAACACATGATTTTGTTCATTTTTTGATGAGCTTTCGAACGAGACGTCGTTCAAACAGAACAGATAAAATTTGACGAAGTTATGGCAAAATATCACGGAGGTCACTTTTTTTGAAAGTCTTTGATACACCTAATTTTGTAAATTCTATAAATCGGCGAAATCAACTCCAAACGACCTGAAAATTTTTTCATAACCCCAGTTTTGATCATAGAATCCAAAAATAGAACAAAACTATAGGTCAAAAAATTTCACTTGACAGACTTTCGGGCACTATGGTTGATGTGGTGACAAAACGTCTCTTAAATGTGTATTCGGAGCACGTGTAGATAGACAATAAAAAGAAAAACTTTGATATTAGAAAGCAAAGAAAGCTCTATACCTTCTAGCTGCCCAGAGCGCTAAAAGTATTTCATTTCAAATCAAAAAATTGCAAAAGGGTCGTGGTGAAAAATCGCCAGTAGTTTCCATATACCAATACCATTGCATACCTGGAAAGGAGCAATGCTATATTCTAATTAAAAAACGAATACATACAGTTGAAATTCGGCTTAATCATAATATAAGTATAAAATCGAGTTTTTCAGATGATTTATGAACGATCTTCATGAGCTTTTCGTGTTCAACACTGATAGAAAAGCATGACTACTTCAGCTATATGACTAATCAGCTTCGAGCTGATTGTCGACTAGCACCAGAGTACAATTAAAACAGTAACAGCCAACTCATATCACTAGGTTATCACATACAATATAGAGATAGAAAATATAAACTGTAAGTCTAATTTCTTTCAAAACAAATAAAAATTTCGGCATGTAGAAACTTATAAAAATTAGAGAAATTGAACGTTTTATCTCCATTCTGAAAGCTGAGCATTCGGAAAGAACAGTTTTATTCTATTATTGTTTAAGGCATTGTATTCGAATGAACGTCTACGAATACAGACACGTATAATACGATCAAATATTGATTGTAATTGTTGAAAAGAAGAATCTTGTGAATTTCTCAATACATCTAATAGTAAACGCTGTGGTATGCATAACATTAGAACGTTCGGTATCATTAACAATAGTCGTTTGAAATGTTGAAAATCTAATTGATCGGGAAAAAACCTTAGGCAGATTACGTTTTCTATTATCAATTCCTTATTCAGTAAAGTATCACTTAAACAACGAACAGGAACTACAATGAATATTAGGTCCATTGCTCTTGGAAATGATTTTTGGATAATCTGGAAAAATTCTAATGTATATGGAACTTTACTATCATGTAAAGTAATTTGTTTCGCTTTGTTTTGTTTATTGTATAACAAAATATTATCGTTCACATTCGATCGATAGTTAACAAGATCATTTGTAACATAAGTGAATTCATGAAACACGTAAGGCAATGAAAATACACAATAATATCGATTACGCAGTGATTGATTAAAACATAAAATCGAATGATTATTAGTGATCCAATAAGACGATTTATATGTTTGGATATAATCGTCTATGTTCAATGTGTTATCGACAACTGGAGTACGAATACAAAAATGAAATACTTTCAATTTTGTTAGTCTTGATAATAACTTTTTTTCTAAACGTCCACCATCAATAAATTGGTCAATATATAAATTCAATGATAAGTATTCCAGATGAGAACAACAATGAGATAATAACAATTCTAAATAATCATAATTAGCAGTAAAAATAGCGTAGAATTCAAAATGTTTCAATTTTGATAATGTCGACGGAAGATTTTTAGCATAATTAAATTCGATGTCATTTTGTTCTTGTTGTTGTGGCTTTCGATTACATTTGACATGCGGTATATCAATATTTACAGATTCGATTGAAGGTAAATTATTTAACAGAACATATACATTATCGAAAGAACATAATCTTATTCTTAACTTTCTAAGAGAAAGACATGGTTGAATAATATGAAGATCGATGGGTACGTGAACATGGGAAAAAAATAATGTTTGTATTTGACAATCAGATTGAAACAGATTTGAGCATAACTCATTTGATACAATTTTATGATCTTCTATGCGATCAAAATAAATTTTTAAATTTAATAATTGTTTAAACAGTTTTAAATATGATAAATATTTACCATCATTTTTAACTTTTGATATAAAAACAGATTCAAGGTTCGGATATATTTTTGAAAATGACAATAATGGAAAAACAGTGTCAATATATTTATCATCAACTTTAATTGCTTTAATATAATGTCGAATGTTTGGTAAAATTGTTTGACAACATTTGTTCAACGCATATTCATCAATATTCGATAAATCTATTCCGCATAAAAAAGGGTAAATAAGATTATTAAAACGATCATTTAAATTGAAAAATGAATAAATAATATCAACAGATTTCAAATAGAGAAAAATAAGGTCATACAATTCACTTGGTAGACTTGATCCTAACCTTGACACGTCCTAGAAGAAGACTATCATTACATGACAGATTAAAAGTAATTTCTCTCCAAGATATCAGGATAGCGAGTTTTAGACACATCGCAACGCACCCTGAAATGCTTCTAGAAGTAGATCGTGTTGACAAACAACTACAAACAAATCTACGTCAAACCCATTCTTGTACAGTTGTTAGATGGCGCTAAAATGGATCTTTTAATCTGGTTTTTAGAAATAGAATATTCAGAAGAAGTGATGAAGTAATCCAATCGAATAGAATCCACAAGCCTTTATCAAAAACATTTTTTACACTATTGAAATCATTCAGTTGAGAGAACTGATTATATACGTTTACAACAAAACAATTAGAAAGGCACATTTGATTTTCGATCCTTTGTGCGAGTAAACAATCCTTTGACTTTCGTCATACAAAAACGTATCTAATTCTTTATTCATCTGTTTCTACCATCTATGAAGTCACAACCTGTACGAATAAGTATTTTGTTCTTGTTGTGAAATTCAGCTGTCCTTCCAATTTCATAAATGCCGTTTTTTAAAACAAATTTTCTTCCACACGATTTTTCTACATAAGATTCGCACTTAATTATATTAGGACCAGAAACTCAGTTGGAATGGTCAACGGTTGAAATCTTACTAAGATGCTGGGGATTTCTTCAAGGTGGCAATCGTATAGTTGCACAATACCGAGCATGATAGGCCTTAGTTTCATTCCTTCATTTAAGGAAGTGATCTGGCATATAGTTCTAGAAATCCAACTGATATTTTTTTGGTATTTTTTCATCTAACAACTAAACCTACTTATTACTTTGCTACTATAATTTAGAATCTTTCATACTGCCAGTCCAAAGCTATACTTTTTAAAAAAATACAAGTCTAGTGCCGCGTCTCAATCAACTTTTTCTAGTTTTAATGGACCACATGAATTCCCGATGCAAATATTACTTATCATGTTTCATAACTGATCTACTGAAAAACGATCAGAACATATGCACATTGTCTATTTCTTTAACTATCAATCATTGTGAGACAATTTATAACTGTTGACAGCCATTTAGAAAACACTCTGTATAGTGTTCAGATCACTTTTGGACACATCAGAACACACTCTGAAATGCTTCTTTTGCCACCAATCTTAGATTTTCCAAACAGACATAATAAATATGAATTAATTTAATTTGGACCAGAAATTTTCATACGTACCATCAATGATGAAATTAGAAATCAGGAAAAGACCAAAGTGAATAAACTCACTCTTTTAAATAGGAGACGAAAAAGGTCGTCCGGCGTATTTCCTTTCATTCGATTTTGATTTCTACACTATGTTCGCTTTTCTATTGATTTGTATTATCGATTGGGCGTTATTTTTCCCTCAACTTTACGTTTGACAGTCCGTGGCGTATCGTCTCCACATTTTGACAGGAAAACAAGAAATTTTTAACCTACAGAAGCGCGAAGAGATGTAAAATGTAATCGAATTTTACTCTACTGTCCACTGAGAAAAGAACGAAAAAAGCCGAAAGTTATATTCATATTTGTTCACCATGTTTATCCTAAAAGCTCATGATGAACAGACGAGTACCTCAGACTTGTCTCTAATAAAACTGCATGATAAACTTCGCCTATATGACATTACGTGAATATCAATAGAATGAGAAAAAATATCAAAAAAATGCGGTTGGTGATAATCAGTCATGACGAACAACGCTTTTTTTCGTTCTTCTCCCAGTAGACGATAGAGGAAAGTTCGATGATATTTTACATCTCTTTCCTCCTCCATCAAAGAATGAAAATTTTCCATTTCATGAGGAATTCGATTCCAGTTATAACTATTCGAATGCCAATTAGTTATGATTGAAGGAATTTTGAATTCTTCGCGTAAAAACAGATTATTGCTGGATCTTCAGTCTATTGAAAACAGACAGGAGAAATATTTCGAATAGCACATCGAGTAGACTAAAAGCATGTGGTTTTGTTCCTGCTGTTCAAAGTATACCAGGCAGGGCTGGAACCGTTCCGGTAAAACGGTACCGGTCCGGCCGGACCGGACCGTTTCAGAAATTCAACCGGGCCGGTAGATACCGGAAATTCGCCGGTTGAAAAGTTTTGAAAAATCACCACTTTTTACCCTATTTTCGACCATAACAACTAAGATTTCTATTTCTGTTAGAACACGTGAAAAATTCGCAAAAAATGTAAGTTTAATGATTTATCTGAGGTTCTGTACAAAAAGAACCATTGTAATGAGTGTCTTTGACATGCGCTCCTAAATGATTTCGTATTTTGAGCCTCTTTATACCATTTACAAAAAATTCGTCGTTTTTTAGGTCATTTTTCATCGGAATTTCACCGGTTTGACATGTGATTCAAACCGGCCGGACAGGACCGTTTAAGAATTTTTCAACCGGTTCCACCTCTGATACCAGGTGTTTGTGTTACAGTTTTCCAAAAGACTAATACAACAAAGTGTAAAAGATCTCAGGTATAGTGAAATGTTCTTATTAAGCTTTTTCAAAAGCATAATCGAATTGATCTTTAGAGGACATAACGAATAATACACAATAAAGGTAGATTAATCTGACAATTTTTCGTGCAAATATACTTTTTTATGTTGTGAGACATTCTAATAAGGAAAATTCATTTTTCTGAAGAATGGTAATAAATATGCAGGTAAAACGTTTAGGATCTATAGAAAAAAAGGATAGAAGCTTCAGTAAGATCGGATTAGTATTGACGGAGACATAATAAAACTATTTTTTTAAAGTGTGAGAAAGATTGTATGGGAAACTAACATTTCTGAAGCATCATGTACATTCATAAGCGGAAACTGAAGCGTCAACCGTATTATTCCTGTGATTGAAAGAGGTGCATAAGTTTTCGCGATATATCAAGAGAGTTATACCATATTTATCTTACGAAACCAAATAGGGTTAAAGTCAACATATCTCCAGTCTTCAAGGTTAAAGTCAGTTAGCAGCGATTCCAGGTAACTCTGCTATTGAAAGAGTGATTCAGTTACGTGTTTCAGTATCTTAAAAATCCTATAAATTTTGTATAGAAAAGAATACACATTCGAGCAATGGCTTATAGAAACGACGAAAAGATACAACTTAAGAATGGGAATAAAGCAAACTCCAAAATGTTTCGTTTGGTCAGTATGAAACGAGAACCACAATGTGCTTTCATTAGACTGAATTATACTGAGTAGAAGTTATTTTAGCCACTTGTCCTAACACAAAGTATTTGGAGAGCTGGCTTTATTCCCATTCTTAAGAGTATCTTTTCCTCTTTCCAATGAGACATTGCTCGAATCTGAATTCTTTTCTATTCAAACTGTATAAAACTTTTAAGATGCTGAAAAAACGTTAAGGAATCAGAGTTACGCAGAATGACCGTTAGATGTCTGAATCTAATCATTATCCAACACTTTTTTTCTTCAAAACCGATGAAATGCTTTTTAAATGAACGACGTAAACATCTGGAATTGAACATAGTAAGTACAACCAATTTCATTGATAATAAAACATATCCTGAAATCCAGGGTTTAATAAAATTCTAATTATAACAGGAATAAAATTCTATTTTGACAAAAGTGCTGACCCAAAAAAACCTGACGAACAAAAATTTTCTCGTTTAACTTTTTTCTAACTTCTTTTTACTTTTGTGTAACTATCATCAACAAATATTTCGAGATTTTGCTCTTGTAGGATAAGAAAGGCTTTTAAAGTTATTAATTACTACAAAACTTCTGTTTATGATCTCATTTTTCACATATTTTTAGTTTACTTGATCAGGCCATTGATTAATCCGTTTTATTTAGTCTTTCATCTAATTCAAGACTGCTTACTCCGAGTTTCACTTACTTGGAGTAAGTGGCCTCCGAGTAAGTGATTTCGGCGGAAGTGATTCTGGAGTAACTTACTGCTAAATCACTTCCTCGGACACTATATACTTACTCCGTGTTTCAAACGAGAAGGGGGAATTTCCCTCCTAATCGAAAACTCTGCTGAAATTGATATCAGAGATTGATGAAGTCGCATCGTTTAACCAAAATGATTTTTTTAATCTCGCCGGAACACAAGAATATAAAACGTAATTTGCACGAGACAAGACAAAAACAAATTTTCTTTGGAAGAAGACTGTGATCGACATAAACTTCTTTAACTTTAATAGATTGAAGATTTTAGAGATGAACGAAAAACGAATCTTTAAGAAAATCACTAAAGATGTTATTTTTGTTTTTTTGTTTTTTTGTTTTTTTTTTGATTTTTGTTTTTCTGAACGTTTTAATAAGTCAGAAGTTAAAGTGAACCTACATCATAGACAACAATGTAACAGCAGTAATTTTCATTTTATTAAAATCATAAACTGAATTTAAATTTTAAATATATTTCCACGCTTCGAACTTTAAAAGTTCATATTCAAGAATACATAAAGAAACGTGTACATTAGCTGGTTAAATTTACTAGTTATGATACATGTAAAAAGAAAAAACAGTATAGAAAAATCATACTTTTCTTTTCATCGTATTGGGCGCGTGAAAAACACGTTGTAAGACGTAGAGGGAAAGGAAATTATAATATGGATGAACTAAATGACCTTAATGATGAAGACATGAATCATATAAAATACTATCGTTTTACCTCTTTCATTATATCGCTTTACCGATTTCATGATATATACTTAGAAAGACAAATCTTCAGTAGCCAAGCATAGAACTGATAGTGGATATGCGTTAGATTGGGAACGTTTTGGTCCTATCTGGCGAGATCGAAGTCCTTATTGTTTGCTTCTTAAAGCGTCACTTGTTTCTCAACCTTATAAACCAGAGCTAGATTGTACTACGCACTCTGTGCGCATGATAGTTTTTCTAGACGGTCTTTCAAAGAAGTTTGTTCCTAATCCCTTTAAAAGAGTAAACTACTAGGGACTATTCTCTTAAAATAAAGTTTACGTGTTCTGTTTCATTAACAACATGTTCATGTGCAGCGACACCACCAAATGAAAGTGACGATCAACTAGAACATCGATTGCGTGAATTTGTGAAACATCTCCTATCACTGAAGAAGATTCGTTATTTAGACGGGAAGCACCCACAATTTGTACGCAACTACTTAAGAGGCTGGATGGGTGCTTCCATAGAGCTCCGCCCACTTTATAC